TATCTCATGACATGTTTAAGATTATAAATTTTTAATTTTATTTCTTGATATTTGTGACAATAATTCAATCAAACAATTTTACGTAAAATGAATTGGAGGAAATATAAATCAGAAAACTCTTGGACTTAAAACGGCCAAGTTGGAATTAAACAACTCATGAGGCGCCTCATTAAACACAAAAAGAAAAAACACATTCTAACTATGGAAAAGGGGCAAAAATACCCCTAAACTAATGAAAATAAAATAACCATAACCCTCCATTTGACTTTTGGCCAAACAATACCCCTGCACTTTTAGAAAGATGATAAACATACCCTCGTTGTTAGCAAACTGGCCCAGCTATGCCCCTATCCCGTCAACGGAACTCCAGGTCTCAATGCCCCTATCCCGTCAACGTAACTCCAGGTCTCATACATGGGGGAAGTGCACAATTAGCCAATAATAAGATATGTATTTACTTTTAAGTCACTGTTTAAAATGTCTTTAGTCTTTAGTCACTGCTTTAATAAATTTTTACCTGTCCGGACGAAAATACCCTTCTGCTCATAAAGTTCAGGACCAAATGTCCTTAACTTATGAGCTTGTTACTGTAAGTTCAGGACTAGATGTCCTTAATTTATGAGCTTGTAAGTCTAAGTTTAGGATTACCTGTCCTTAACTTATGAGTTTGTAAGTCTAAGTTAAGGACTACCTGTCCTTAATTTCTGTGCTTGTAACTTGAAGTTGAGGACTACCTGTCCTTAATTTATGTACTTGTAACTCTAAGTTAAGGACAAGTGTCCTTAATTTTTGAACTTCTAACTCTAAGTTCAGGACCAAGTATCCTTAAATTATGAGCTTGTTACTGTAAGTTCAGGACTAGCTGTACTTAATTTATGAGCTTGTAAGTCTAAGTTAAGGACTGCCTATCCTTAATTTCTGTGCTTGTAACTCTAAGTTAAGGACTACCTGTCCTTAATTTATGTGCTTGTAACTCTAAGTTAAGGATCAAGTGTCCTTAATTTTTGAACTTCCAACTCTAAGTTCAGGACCAAATGTCCTTAACTTATGAGCTTGTTACTGTAAGTTCAGGACATTTGTCCTTAATTTATGAGCTTGTAAGTCTAAGTTAAGGACTACCCCGTGTTTTGATCTTAATTCCCCCTTTAATTACCTTTGCGTATTTTCTACCTGAAAATTTCTTTTTTGTTTGTATGATTTCCCTCATTCCCAGCTATTGAGCTTCATCTCCATTAACGTTCAACTTGCAAATGTATTTGAGCTCAAGATGTTACATACCACAATTGAGTTGTCAGCAGAGTCAATGGTGGGCATTGAAAAATAGGAACAAGTGGCGATGGACAATATTCTTGGCGGAACAGATCAGCTAGGCGTTATCTCCATTACTGGCATACCCGGACTTGATAGAGGGTTTGGGAAGGAAAAGAGATAGAAGAAAGGGTAATATCGTCTTTTCATATTAATTTTAATAAATTAGTGATTACTTTTGCTTCGCATTAAAAATACTGAATAAAAAATAAATACCACTTAAAAAAATGACTACCAGACGCAGTTTTTGCCTCATACATCCTCTTTAGAATATATTCTTTGTTATGATGGGCTCCGTCTTGAAAAATAGGCTACCCCACTTTTTTTGTTGAGAGCTTTCTTCTCCATAGAAAGAGCATATGTGTGTGACCAATTGTTACTCCTAATAAAGTGGAACGAAAATTCATGGAAAACCCGAAGTCAAATCACAAGGAAGAGAAACATCATTTAACTGTCTAATTTTATAGGATAAAGTTATTCAATCTCTATACAGGTATATGGTATAAGGTAGTAGGTATTCATAAAATAGTTGAATTGCGAGCAAATCAGTTGTTTACCCTAAAAATGGATAACAATTAATTTTGTAAACGGTTTTAAGGATGCGTGGATTAATTCGATACAAACGATAAATTGCGTTAGACTAAACAAATAAAAATATAGTAAATTCAAACCACGTGAGGAAGATAATTTCAGCCTTGATGAAATTTCCACCCTCGATCCGGATTTACAATGGCTAGCACTGGTGGGCGAGAATAAGAGCTATGAATAACAATAAAAATAATAGTATATTACTTTGGGATGCGTGTTACAATATGTACAATGAATAATCAGACTCCCTTTATATAGTAGGGGAATCCTACTCTAGGTACAATTCCATAAAAGGTAAAAATCTTCCGTTTAACAAATTACTGGATTCCCATCGGTACGTGCCAAGATCTGCGTCGTGATACCCGATTAGTTACGGATATTACGGCCTTCCGTTAATCGTCTTCGATTGCCCAATAATGCTCACTAAAGTTTTTAGGGATTTAGACCGATCCCGGGGTTATGGCCTTGATATAGTCGAGGGCGGGCGTCGTGCCCCTGGTACGTGACTCGACGAGTCCCTTACCTTGATCTCGGTTCCTCGTCATCGCATTCCTTACTCGATTTAATTTATCGGAAATTGGGTCAGCTTATGTGTCCGGTTTCACCCGTATATAGATAGTCCCCTCGTTCCTCGGAGAGCAAGTTTTACGGAAACGACGAGGAACGACATGAGTTCTTTGATCTCTTCTTCAACACGCTGCGACACAAAATAACAAAGAAACTGAAACGTCTTGTCAGTCACGTCACAATGACCCCTAATGTGTGGCAGCCGTCGGCAGTTCGTGCCTGAATGTGAAACGGCGCCAAGCCTCTATAAATACCCCTTCCTTCGTTCATTTTTTACTTTGGACTAAGTTTCTACCTTCGATCCTTTAAGATATTACAGTCTTCTTTTATCCCTCAATACTCTTACCTTCGTTCTTCAAGTTACAACCTTTCTTTTCCCCTTTCTTAAGTCAGTGTGCTTGTTTTTATTAGCAAGTTCTCATTCTTCATCTCCTCATTCTCCTTCATAGTTTAAAACTCTTTTAACCAGATAAAAGAAATGGCAAAGACTTCCAAAATCGTTCCCCAGAAGATGCTCCTTCTTCGCGGCCGGCCACTAAGATCGAGGAGACCGCCCCTGATGTGGTCATCCTCGAAAAGTCCGTTCCGGTCGCGGCCACTGATGAACCGACAGTCGAGCCCCCCTTGAAAATGTTCGTCCCCAGGGGGTGTTCGGTCAATGATGACTTCAAGGTTGAAAAGCCTCTTCGGTTTAAGGCCGATGCAAGGCGGTGTCACGGTACATCTGCTCTATTACCGAGGCCGTTCTTCCAGCAGTTTGAAAGTACTGCGGCTGGGCGGATAAAGATGTAGTGATTCTCGGGCCCGATGACGATATCACCACACATGTTGAGGGATATCTAAATGTTTACACTTATCCATTTACATTAGGTCTAGTGGTGGGCCCGGTCATCTTGGACTTTTGCAGGAGGTATGATGTATGCCTCGACAAAATTCACCCATCACTGTGGAGGATCGTGATCCTCCTCCGATTCTTCGTGAACAAAATTGATTCGTGCACGTTCACCATCGACCATCTTCTCCACTTATACAATCCCTAAATCTTCCGAGGGGGGACTGATAAAGCTTGTATGCCAAGCCAGCAAAGCCCCATTTTCGAGTAACGACAAGGACCGGGATCGGGGTTGGCAAGGATGTTTTGTCCGAGTGAGGACCGCCAATCTGATACCTGCCGAGTGGAGGTCGTTCCCCGAGAAGTGGAACGTATCACGTAAGTCTAACTCCTTGTAAACGTCGATTTCATGTTTTATCTTCCATTTTCTCATCGGTGTTTGCTGTGGTGTAGCCCTCGCTTGAGTTCCAAACACCATTCCTCGGCTCAAGGAGTGGATCAGAGGCATTTGTTCATAGATGCCTTATGCCGAGCGCTCGTGGCACGAGATCTCAAAGGGCCGCTGGGAGGCCTGTTCTCACAATAAGATTCCCTTCTCTGAGTAAGTAGCACTAAACTTTCTTTTTCAACACTATGTCCTTATCTTTTTCAACATTATGCCCGCTGATCCTTCTGCTTTGGGGCAACCTGGAACCACAGCAGGAGAGAAGAAAAGGAAGAGGGCCCCGAGTTCCCCGATCTTGGAGAAGAAGAAATCGAGGAGAAGGTTGGCTCGTAAGCCAAAGGAAAGTTCCAGCTCTCGAGTGCCTGACTCGGATTCACTCTTCTGGCTGAGGGACGAGCCCGAGGAGGACTACCTTTTTGTGGCCCGCAAGCCATCTGTTCCTAAGGAACAAGTGGCAGCCGAGGGGGAAACGATGGGGGCTAATCCCCCTCAAGTTCACGAGGCTCAGACAGATGTGAGGGTCGAGACCTCTCGAGTCGCCGTCTCCGCCCTGCCCCGCCCGGTGTTATAGAAATTTCGGGATCGCCCTCATTCACTGAGTCCATGTTCGATGAAGCCCAAGCGATGAAGGAGTGATCTAATGAAGGGGCTCATGGAATAGGCGATCCCCCTTC